GTCGTGGCTTCGTCTCGCAGCGTCCGCCCCCAGGGGTTTTCTCGGACCCCCTCCCTCGGCACCCGGCCCCTCCGCTCCCCGGGCGTCGTGGCCCGGGCGCCCCCGAGGCCTGGCGCAGAGGGCCCTCTCGGAGGCCGAAGGCAGAGACACGCCCCCCGTCGTGAGTGGTCTCGCAGCGCGGTCGGGGAACGCGTAGTGGGGGGGGGGCGATAAGTGTGCGCGCGCGTGCGTGCGTGCGTGCGTGCGTGCGTGCGTGCGTGCGTGCGTGCGTGTGTGTGTGTGTGTGTGTGTGTGTGTGTGTGTGTGTGTGTGTGTGTGTGTGTGTGTGTGTGTGTGTGTGTGTGTGTGTGCGTGTGCGTTTGCGTGTGCGTGTGCGTGTGCGTGTGCGTGTGCGTGTGCGTGTGCGCGTGCGTGTGTGCGTGCGTGCGTGCGTGCGTGTGTGTGTGTGTGTGTGTGTGTGTGTGTGTGTGTGTGTGTGTGTGTGTGTGTGTGTGTGCGACGTGTGTGCGTGTGGTGTGCGTGTGATAACGGGGTGTGTGTGTGTGTGTGTGTGTGTGTGTGTGTGTTGGATGTGTGTGTTGTGCGTTCTTCGTGCGTGCGTTGGATGTGCGTGTGTGTGTGTGTGTGTGTGTCCTGTGTGCGCTGTTTCTCTTGTGCGTGTGCGTGTGCGTGTGCGTGTGCGTGTGTGTGTGTTGCGTGTGTGTGCTTCATGTGTGCGTGCGTGCGTGCGTGAGTTGCGTGGGAGTGTGTGTGTGGTGTGCGTTGTGTGTGTGTGTGTGTGTGTTGTGTGGGTGTGGTCTGTTGTGTGTCTGTTGGTGTCTGTTTGTGTCTGTCTGTGTGTGTGTGTGGTGCATGTCTGTGTGTGTGTATGTTGTGTGTCTGTTGTGTGTCTGTTGTGTGTCTGTGTGTGTGTGTGTGTGTGGTGTATGTCTGTGTGTGTGTGTGTGTGTGGGGGGGCAGCGAAGGCTGCCGAACCGGGGCCCTCTGGAGCCCCATCAGGGGGCCCCGTGGGCCCCAGAGCGGCCTTCAGGGCCGACAAGGGTACCACGCTCCCCCCATCTATATTGATCGCCTCCCCTGTGAATTTCGGGGGCGGAAAAGAGGGGGGTGATGACTACGGGGGGGGTGGATATCATGGCGGGGGCCATGATATTTACCTAACATCGAAGACTGATAGGTTTCTAATGGTGTAAAAAGAGACCAGCACATTACTCCACAGGGGGGTCTGGGCAGCCGTTGGGGAGCCGTTGGGGGGCCGTTGGGGGGGCCGTTGGGGATTTCGTGGGGGGCTCCGCGGAACCTCGTTTTTCGCATACAGTCACACACTTCGTGCTTTTCGATTTCCCAGAACTCCATTCCCGGGGCACATTCTGAATGCCCGGAGCCAACTGTAGGCCACTTCGTGCTCTTCGACTTCCCAGAACTCCATTCCCGGGCCACATTTTGAATGCCCGGAGCCAACTGTAGGCCACTTCGTGGTCTTCGAGTCCCCAGAACTCCATTCCGGGCCACATTTTGAATGCCCGGAGCCAATTGTAGGCCACTTCGTGCTCTTCGAGTTCCCAGAACTCCATTCCCGGGCCACATTTTGAATGCCCCGAGCCAACTGTAGGCCACTTTGTGATCTTCGAGTTCCCAGAATTCCATTCCTGGGCATGATTTTGAATGCCCGGAGCCAACTATAGGCCACTTCGTGTTCTTCGAGTTCCCAGAATTCCATTCCCGGTCCACATTTTGAATGCTGAGGCAGGCTGAGGCTGAGGCTGAGGCAGGCTGAGGCTGAGGCAGGCTGAGGCTGAGGCCGAGGCTGAAGGCAGACTGAGGCTGAGGCTGAAGCAGACTGAGGCTGAGGCAGAGGCAGGCTGAGGCTGAGGCTGAAGCAGGCTGATGCTGAGGCAGGTTGAGGCTGAGGCTGAGGCTGATGCAGGCTGAGGCTGAGGCAGGCTGAGGCTGAGGCTGAGGCCAAGGCTCAAGGCAGACTGAGGCTTTGGCTGAAGCAGGCTGAGGCTGAGGCTGAGGCTGAGGCTGAGGCAGGCTGAGGCTGAGGCTGAGGCAGGCTGAGGCTGAGGCAGGCTGAGGCTGAGGCTGAGGGTGAGGCTGAGGCTGAGGCTGAGGCAGGCTGAGGCTGAGGCTGAAGCAGGCTGATACTGAGGCAGGCTGAGGCTGAGGCAGGCTGAGGCACAGAGGCTGAGGCTGAAGGCAGACTGAGGCTGAGGCTGAAGCAGGCTGAGGCTGAGGCTGAGGCAGGCTGAGTCTGAGGCTGAGGCTGAGGCAGGCTGATGCTGAGGCCGGCTGAGGCTGAGGCTGAGGCTGATGCAGGCTGAGGCTGAGGCAGGCTGAGGCCGAGGCCGACGGCAGACTGAGGCTGAGGCTGAAGCAGGCTGAGGCTGAGGCAGAGGCAGGCTGAGGCTGAGGCTGAGGCAGGCTGATGCTGAGGCAGGCTGAGGCTGAGGCTGAGGCTGATGCAGGCTGAGGCTGAGGCAGGCTGAGGCGGAGGCCGAGGCTGAAGGCAGACTGAGGCTGAGGCTGAAGCAGTCTGAGGCTGAGGCCGAGGCAGGCTAAGGCTGAGGCTGAGGCAGGCTGAGGCTGAGGCAGGCTGAGGCTGAGGCTGAGGCTCATGCAGGCTGAGGGGGGGGGGGGGGGGGGGGGGGGGGGGGAGGGACTGAGCAGGCCGGAAGGCGGAGTCCGAGGCTGATTTTTTTTGCTCGTTTTTTTTTTTGATTTTTTTTTTTTGTTTTTTTTGATTTTTTTGTGTTTTTTTATTTCTTTTTTTTGATTTTTTTTTGTATTTTTTTTTTTTCTTTTTTTTTGTATTGATTGTTTTGTTTTTTTTTTTTTTGTTGATTTTCTTTTTCTTTTTTGTTTTTTTTTTTTTGTGATATTTTTTGTTTTTATTTTTGTTTTTTTTGATTTGAAGGCAGACTGAGGCTGAGGTTGAAGCAGGCTGAGGCTGAGGCTGAGGCAGGCTGAGGCTGAGGCTGAGGCAGGCTGAGGCTGAGGCAGGCTGAGGCTGAGGCTGAGGCTGAGGCTGAGGCTGAGCAGGCTGAGGCTGAGGCAGGCTGAGGCTGAGGCCGAGGCTGAAGGCAGACTGAGGCTGAGGCTGAAGCAGGCTGAGGCTGAGGCGGAGGCTGAGGCAGGCTGAGGCTGAGGCTGAGGCAGGCTGATGCTGAGGCAGGCTGAGGCTGAGGCTGAGGCTGATGCAGGCTGAGGCTGTGGCAGGCTGAGGCTGAGGCCGAGGCTGAAGGCAGACTGAGGCTGAGGCTGAAGCAGGCTGAGGCTGAGGCTGAGGCAGGCTGAGGCTGAGGCTGAGGCAGGCTGATGCTGAGGCAGGCTGAGGCTGAGGCTGAGGCTGATGCAGGCTGAGGCTGAGGCAGGCTGAGGCTGAGGCCGAGGCTGACGGCAGACTGAGGCTGAGGCTGAAGCAGGCTGAGGCTGAGGCAGAGGCAGGCTGAGGCTGAGGCTGAGCAGGCAGGCTGATGCTGAGGCAGGCTGAGGCTGTGGCTGAGGCTGATGCAGGCTGAGGTTGAGGCAGCTGAGGCTGAGGCCGAGGCTGAAGGCAGACTGATGCTGAGGCTGAAGCAGGCTGAGTCTGAGGCTGAGGCAGGCTGAGGCTGAGGCAGGCGGAGGCTGAGGCTGAGGCAGGCTGAGGCTGAGGCTGTGACTGCGACTGCCGTTGCCACTGCGACTGTCATCGCGAATGCGACTACGACTGCGAGAACAGCAGAATTCTACAACTGGATTCTCATCCGAATCTTAAGGGGAATGCTTCCAGATATGCTCCTACACATCGATGTTAGGTTGCTTTGCCGGGATAATTCTTCAGATTTCATGGCGCCTCGTCTTATTCCATTACGTCCCTGGCCCCCCCGCTGGGCCGCGCACATGCCGCCGGCCATGATTTGCACCCCCCCCCTCTTGGACACCCCCCTGTTGGCCGCTCCCGAGAACTCGCGCCGAACAACCTCCCGTCGTGTTTTTTTTTTTTGGGGGGGGGGGGGCACATCGCCAAGGGGTATTCGGCGTGACCCCAACATGCTAATGCTACGTGTGCGTGGCCCCCCCCCCCCGGGGACCGACAGTGGTGTATAGTCTGCCTTCGCGCGTCCCAGGTGGGGGTCCTCCCTCTTCTCGAGCCGGGGACCGGCCGCAGAAGTGCCCTGCCCCAAGCCCAACCTTCTCGCCGAGTCGGCGGCGCGCGCGCGCAGGCAGCGCCGCAGACCCGCGACGGCGCCGCGCGGCCGTCGCAGAGCCGACGGGCAGAGGGAACTGTGGGGTGCATCCGTGCTGTCGTCGGCCCCCGACTTCGGCGGTGGGCGGGGGGGAGGGGAAGCGAGAGTGAGGGAGGGTGCCCTCTCCGGAAGGCTCGGGAGTTCCCCGGCCTTCTGGGAGGTTTCCTGCGCCTTCCCCGGAGATGCAGCAGCAAAAAGCTCCTCGGAAGGCGCGCGGGGGCCTCTGGGGAGGCCCGCCGCCCTCCGAGAGGGCCTTTTAGATTGCAAGGGTATGGCCTGGTTGGATTGGGACTTCGCGAACTAATCCTTGGGTCTCCATTGCCATCTTGTCTTGCTCGCTGTTTGGCTCGTGAGCGGCGGATGCCCCCTCGCCTTCTCCTGCCTTTCGCCTCACCCTCCCACCCGGGAGGTTTTTGGGTTGGTAGCCTGACAAGCTATCATCCTGGGGGTGTCTGGTGTGCTATTGTAGTCGCATCGCGACTTCAAGAGCGTCGTCCTCCCACAAAAACTATGCATGGCAGGAGGGGCAGCAAGGATCTCCTCCTCGCTTCCCCCCCTCGCTCCCCGCCGGCGACCCGATCCTCCCTCTCCCCTCCCTCGGCCGTCTCTGGAGGCTGCATGCCCAGAAACTGTTTTTGAGTTTAAACTCCACCTTGTGGCGCGCCACACAGGCGCGCCCCAGACGGCGCTGCGATGCTCGACGCGTCCTCCTGCCGAGTCGATCGATCGGCCGTCTCCCCCGCCGCTCCTCCCCGCCCCCCCCCGCGCGAGGGCGGCCCCCGCCCCGAGCCAGTGGCTGGAGGCGGCGCGCGCCGCCCCTCGGGGCCAGGGGCGGGGCGGGGCGGGGGGCCCTGGGGGCGGGGCGGGGCGGGGGGCCCTGGGGGCGGGGCGGGGCGGGCGGCGAGGAGGCCTCCCTCCCTCCCTTCTCTCTCCCTCCCTCCGCCTCCTCCCTCCCTCCCCTCCCTCCCTCCCTCCCCTCCCCCTCCTCCTCCTCCTCCTCCTCCTCCCCCTCCTCCTCTCCTCCTCCTCCTCCTCCTCCTCCTCCTCCTCCTCATCCTCCTCCCCCCCTCCTCCTCCTCCGCCTCCTCCTCCTCCTCCTCCTCCTCCTCCTCCTCCTCCTCCTCCTCCTCCCTCCCTCCCTCCTCTGATTGGAGGCAGGCGCTGCAGCCATGGGGCAGCCGAGGGCCACCTGGCCGGAATTCGGGGAGCTGCCGAAGGCCTTCCCCGCGGGTGTGGCGAGAGCAGCCTCTCCAGACGCTTCGACCGCAGGACGGGGGTCGCAGGTGGCTTGGCATGGCTCGGACGTGCGCATTTTTCTCGACGAGAACCATGGAGGACCATCCTGGACCATCGAGCAAAGAAAACACGCACGAAACTGAACAATGCACGGGAAATGGACGCCCGAGCGACGGCAAGGTGGGGCACTGGCCAGTCTCGTGTCCATGCCAGAGAACGATCACCCGCATGTGAACAACAACGATGTGCACGTGGAGACCGTCGTGCAGGGCCTTGCCGAGGGAGGCAATGTGGGGCCTCTGCGTTTCCCTTCGTACATGGACGAGCTCTCGATCGCCCTCGTGGACGCCGGACTGGGGGTGGGCCTGGGAGGGACCGTGCCCGCGCAGTGGCAGGCTAGGGAATGGTCATGCATAAGGGGCTCCAGTGGAGACGTGGTCAAGGCAGCTGCTGGTGAATATCAGGAAGATGCGCGCGCTACCCTCGCAGGCCCAAATGGAGGCCCATCTGGATCTGGAGGCCTCGGCCCTGCAGGCGCTGGATTGGGCTGCTCCTCGGAGGCTTCGGCAGTGCTACACGCGGACGACCCTGTGCTTCTAGCCAGCAGCAGAGGAGGCGCGCAGAACTCTTTTCAGGTTCTCGCAGCGCGGGCACACAAACACAAGGCCAGCCCTCACACCAAGGCTACCGAGCACGCTGCTATGGTGTCGGGGGCCACCAGTCCTTCAGTCCTCTCAGAAGGAGGAACCATTTGTGATTGCTTTGGTGGGCCAGGAACCGATGCCCATCGCCATGGTGACCAAACATCGCTGATTGGGCCTCCCATGGCGTAGCGATTTGGATAACGGAAAGAGCGAGGTACGAGTGATGACGTTGTGTTTTCGGCGAAGCCCTCTAGGGAGGGGTCCAGGGGAGGGGGCAGGGGGAGTGAATGGGCTCTAATGGCAGTTTTCTGGTTTTCCTTTGGGTTTTTGCATCTGTTTGTTCGGGTTCCCCCCCAAGACGGCCCAAGAGCGCTCCAAGAGAGCCCAAGACCGCCCAAGACAGCCCAAGAGGCCCCCAAGAGGCCCCCAAGAGGCGCCCAAGGGGCGTGCCAAGAGGGCACCAGGAGGCCAAAATCATGGAGGTTCTAAAGGAAAACGTATATTTTTAGCATGCACGGCTTTTCGGCGTTCACGGCGTTGACGACGGCCCAAGAGGCCCCCAAGACCGCCCCAAGACGGCCCAATAGGCTCCCAAGAGGCCCCCAAAACGGCCCAAGAGGGCCCCAAGACGGTCCAAGAGGCGCCCAAGACGGCCCAAGAGGGCCCCAAGACGGCCCCAATAGGGGGACCACGAACTGAAAAGTCGAGCCTTTCGCCCCAAGAAGCTCCCAGGAGGCCCCCAGAGCCCCCCAAGAAGCCCCAAGAGGCCCCCAAGAGGCGTCCCAAGAGGCCACCAGGAGGCCCAAATCATTGATTTCCCATAGGGAAACGTACATTTTTAGCATATACGGCTTTTGGCCTTCACGGCGTTGAAGACGGTCCAAGAGGCCCCCAAGACCGCCCCAAGACGGCCCAAGGGGCTCCCACGAGGCCCCCAAACCGGCCCAAGAGGGCCGCCAGACGGTCCAAGAGGCGGCCAAGACGGCCCAAGGGAGCCCCAAGACGGCCCCAAGAGGGGGACCACGAACTGAAAAGTCGAGCCTTTCGCCCCAAGAAGCTCCCAGGAGGCCCCCAGAGCCCCCCAAGAAGCCCCAAGAGGCCCCCAAGAGGTTCCAAAGAGGCCTCCAGAAGGGCATTAAAAAGGGCCACAATGGGACCCCCAAGGAGGCCCAGAGACGCCAAAGAAAGAGCGATCGGAAGCTCTTTGCACCAAGGCTCCCACGAGCGAACGGTGACGTAAACAAGCTGATTAGACCAAGACTCTCAGCAGAGAGCGGTGACGTAACAAGTTCCTGACACCAGGGCCCAGCCAAGGCTCAGGAACGGGCGGCAACGCAACAATCTCTGAACACCAAGGCTCTCAAGCGCGAGGGGTGACGTAACAAGCTCTCAACGCCAAGGCTCCCAGTACGAACGGTGGTGTGAGTAATTTCGGTTTTTGTTTCTGCAGCGCTCTTTCCGTTTCTGTGCCGGGCCAGGTAACGAAAAGAGCGAGGTACGAGTGATGATGTTCTGGTGTGGGCGAAGCCCTAAAGGGAGGGGTTCCAGGGGAGGGGGTACCGCGAACGAATGAGTGTCAATGGCCGTTGTCGGGTTTTCCTTCGGGTTTTCGTGCGTTTTTCTGGTTCCCCCCCAAGAAGGTCCAATAGCGCTCCAAGAGAGCCCAAGATCGCCCAAGGCGGCCCAAGAGGCCCCCAAGAGGCCCCCAAGAGGCGCCCAAAGGGCGTCCCAAGAGGGCCCCAAGATGCCAAAATCATTGATTTCCTATTGGAAAAAAGGTACATTGTTAGCATGCGCGGCTTTTCGGCATTCGCGGCGTTGAAGACGGTCCAATAGGCCCCCAAGACCGCCTCAAAACTGCCCAAGAGGCTCCCACGAGGCCCCCAGAACGGCCCAAGAGGGCCCCCAGACGGCCCAAGAGGCGCCCAAGACGGCCCAGAAGGGCCCCAAGACGGCCCCAAGAGGGGGACCACGAACTGAAAAGTCGAGCCTTTCGCCCCAAGAAGCTCCCAGGAGGCCCCCAGAGCCCCCCAAGAAGCCCCAAGAGGCCCCCAAGAGGTTCCCAAGAGGCCTCCAAAAGAGCCCGAAAAGGGCCCCAATAGGACTCCCAAGGAGGCCCAGAGACGCCAAAGAAAGAGCGATCGGTAACGCAAAAAGTTCTTCACGCCAAGGCTCCCAAAAGCGAACGGTGACGTAAACAAGCTGATCAGACCAAGGCTCCCAGCAGAGAGCGGTGACGTAACAAGTTTCTGACACCAAGGCCCAGCCAAGGCTCAGGAACGGGCGGCAACGCAACAATCGCTGAACACCAAGGCTCCCAAGAGTGAGGGGTGACGTAACAAGCTCTCAACGCCAAGGCTCCCAGTACGAACGGTGGTGTGAGTAATTTCGGTTTTTGTTTCTGCAGCGCTCTTTCCGTTTCTGTGCCGGGCCAGGTCTATCGGCCATGGGCAGGGATCGAGTCGGCGCTGCGGCCTCCCATGTCTCCACGCTGGCGGGCCTGGTGGCTCGCGAGGAGTTTCCCTTGTCCGCTGCGGCCGGCGTCTTCGATCTACAGGTGGAGGCCTCTTTCAGCTTCGGCAGGTGGCTCTGGGCCCCGGCGTCTGGCGGAGAGAAGGCCGCGCATGCGGCGTACAGCGCCAGTTTTGATACATGCTCCGCGTGCGGACCATGCATTAAACATAAAGGGTTGATTAATGGATACAAGGATGAGTTTATGCATTAAGTTATTCATATATTAACCATGTATTGAAGATCCTACATGTTCTAAGATCCTAGGTAATAGAAGCTGCCTTGTACGAAGGCTGGGCGCGCTTGTTCTTGGGCGCTCCGCCACGGCGGGGGCCCGCACCGGCGCTCGGCGAGATGGGCTGGCGCCTGTCGGGGGCAGCGCGGCTGGTGGGCGGTGTGGCAGCCGGGAGAGCAGCGCCGTGGGCACGTCCAGGCGGGGGCCTGTCCCGAGACGCTCTCCTGGGCGCGCACGCGTGGGTGGGCCACACGTGGGCCAAGGCCTCTCAAGTTCCCCTCGGCTCCTGGGGCTTACCGGACTGGCCGGGCTGGCCCCTCCAGCATCCGCAGGGCACCAGGAATGGGTACAAGGCCGAGGTCCAGGACAAGCTGGCACGGTTTTCAGAGGCTCGTTGGCGGCAGGCAGCTGGCCAGCACCGTCGTCCTTTACAGTCTCTTTCCCGACGTCCTGGTTTCCCAACGGACCTCCAGCAGATGGCGGGCCCCCCTTCTTCGTGGGAGGTCCTGCTGGGCCAGAGGTCGTTGTCGCGTCTTCGGATGGGTGTCCTCGCGCTGGGGCACGATTCGGGCAGACGCTTCTGCGCGCGCGTACAATCATGTACCCTCTGTGGAAGACGAACGATGAGCCGCACCTTCCAGGTGCCGGGAGTGTGCGAGGCAGCGGCGAGCCAGCGTGCGGAGTTCCGGCGCGCCCGCGGAACACTACAGCTGGAGTCACAGGAATCACGTGCGGCGGCATGTCTGAGTCCACCCCGGACCAGCCAGGCCGTGTGGAGGCTGCTTTGCTCGCGCTGGCTGTGGACGGCGGGGGCCAGGTTCTGGTCGCCGCGTAGCCTCCTCCCTACCTCTGGGGCTCACATTTTTTTTTTGTTTTTTTTTTTTTTTGTTCTCTCTCTCTCTCTCTCTCCCACTCTCGCTCTCCACTTTCTTCCTGTCTCTCGCTCTCTCTATCCCTCTTTCTCCCTCTTTCTCCCTCTTTCTCTCTCCCTCCCTCCCTCCCTCCCTCCCTCTCGGCCGCGCTACTTTCGAGGCATGGGCCCAATTCGTGCCTCTCCCCTCCTCGTCCTCGTCCTTGTCCTCGCCCTCCTCCTCCTCCTCCTCCTCTTCCTCCTCTTCCTCCTCCTCCTCCTCCTTCTCCTCCTCCTGCTCCTCCTCCTGCTGCTCCTCCTCTCCTCCTCCTCCTCCTCCTCCTCCTCCTCCTCCTCCTCCTCCTCCTCCTCCTCCTCCTCCTCCTCCTCCTCCTCCTCCACCCCTCTCTCCTAAAGACGGGCCTCTGCATGGGAGTTGCGCGTGTCGGCTTGGGGTGGGCTGGGCTGCAGGCTTCTTCTTCCGGCACGGATGTCTTTCGCCGGGGTTGGCTTTCGCCTGGCTTCGTTTCGCCGGGCTTCGTTTCGCCGGGGTTGGCTTTCGCGGGGGTTGACTTTCGCCGGGGTTGGCTTTCGCCTGGGCTGGCTTTCGCCAGGCTTCGTTTCGCCGGGCTTCGTTTCGCCGGGCTTCGTTTCGCCGGGGTTGGCTTTCGCCGGGGTTGGCTTTCGCCGGGGTTGGCTTTCGCGGGGGGTTGGCTTTCACCGGGTTGGCTTTCGCCGGGTTGGCTTTTGCCGGGGTTGGCTTTCGCTGGGGTTGGCTTTCGCCAGGGTTGGCTTTCGCCGGGGTTGGCTTTCGCCGGGGCCGGGCGGGGAGCAGGCGGGGCAGGCTCAGGGGCAGGCGATGAATGGGTAATGGGGTATCGATGTCTCCTGTCCCCTCTTAGCAATTTCTTGTGTCGGGCCGCTTCCAGAAGCGGCCGGCGGTCGTGGTGGCGGTCGCAGCTGGTGGGGGCGTTGGCCCGAGACTTCCGACGCCCGGGAAAAACAAAACGGTCAGTTTTTTAGGTCGGGGTCGGCCTCAGGGAGGCCATGACGTCGTTACCTAGGACGCGCCAGGATAAAATTATGTCCTTGGGAACGACTGCGGACCCCATGGAGCCGCCAGCGTAAACAAATCCGGGGGTCGGAGGTCAGGGCCGGAAGTCGCCGTGCAGGAGTAGGTGAGAGGGCGGGGGCGCGGCGAGGAAGGAAGAGGCTCGAGACCCTTGTTGCAGGGCGAGCAGCGGGCAGCGCACGCACGGACGGGCAGCGGGCAGCGCCGAGCACAGAAACCCGCCAGGCGGACCCTAAAGGGAGGGTCGGGTCGGGCGGGCGGACCCTGACGGGCGGGACGGGTCGGGCGCGGTCGGGCAGACCCTAACACGCGGGTCTGGTCGGGCGGGCGGACCCTAACGGGCGGGGCGGGTCGGGTCGGGACGGGCGGACCCTAACGGGCGGGTCGGGTCGGGCGGCGGGACACTAAAGTGTGGAGGCGCGCTCGAGTGAGCACGCGTGAACCCTAACGGGCGGGTCAGGTCGGGTCGGGCGGATCCTAACGGGCGGGGCGGATCGGGTCGGGTCGAGCAAACCCGAACGGGCGGGTCGGGTCGGGCGGGCGGGACACTACAGTGTGGAGGCGCGCTCGAGTGAGCACGCGTGAACCCTGCAGGGCGGGTCGGTTCGGGCGGGCGGATCCTGATGGACGGGGCGGGTGGTCGGGTCGGGCGGACCCTAACGGGCGGGTCGGGTCGGGCGGGCGGGACACTAAAGTGTGCGGGGCGCGCTCGAGTGAGCACGCGTGAGCCCTAGCGGGCGGGTCGGGTCGGGCGGGCGACCCTGGGGGGGGACGGGTCGCGCCGGGTCTGGGGCGGCGGGACGGGGGCGGGGGGTCGGGGTCGGCGGACCCTAACGGGCGGTCGGGTCGGGCGGGCGGGACACTAAAGTGTGGGGCGCGCTCGAGTGAGCACGCGTGAACCCTCACGGGCTGGTCGGGTCGTGTCGGGCGGACCCTAGCGGGCGGGGCGGATCGGGTCGGGTCGAGCAAACCTTGACGGGCGGGTCGGCTCGGGCAGGCGGGACACTAAAGTGTGGAGGTACGCTCGAGCGAGCACGCGTGAACCCTAACGGGCGGGTCGGGTGGGGCAGGCGGACCCTGATGTGCGGGACGGGTCGGGTTTGGTCGGGCGGACCCTAACGGGCGGGTCGGGTCGGGCGGGCGGGACACTAAAGTGTGGGGCGCGCTCGAGTGAGCACGCGTGAGCCCTAACGGGCGGGTCGGGTCGGGTCGGGCGGTCCCTAACGGGCGGGGCGGATCGGGTCGGGTCGAGCAAAACCTAACGGGCGGGTCGGGCCGGGCAGGCGGGACACTAAAGGACGCGCCAGGATAAAATTATGTCCTTGGGAACGACTGCGGACCCCATGGAGCCGCCGGCGTAAACAAATCCGGGGGTCGGAGGTCAGGGTCGGAAGTCGCCGTGCAGGAGTAGGTGAGGGGGCGGGGGCGCGGCGAGGAAGGAAGAGGCTCGAGACCCTCGTTGCAGGGTGGGCAGCGGGCAGCGCACGGACGGGCAGCGGGCAGCGCCGAGCACAGAAACCCGCCAGGCGGACCCTAAAGGGAGGGTCGGGTCGGGCGGGCGGACCCTGACGGGCGGGACGGGTCGGGCGCGGTCGGGCAGACCCTAACGGGCGGGTCGGGTCGGGCGGGCGGTTTGGCGCGCCGGAACGAGCACGCGCGTTCTTCAATGGGCTGGTCGGGTCGGGTCGGGCGGACCCTAGCGGGCGGGACGGGTCGGGTCGGGTCGGGCGGACCCTAACGGGCGGGTCGGGTCAGGTGGGCGGGACACTAAAGTGTGGGGGCGCGCTCGAGTGCGCACGCGCGAACCCTAGCGTGCGGGTCTCATCGGGCGGGCGGACCCTAACGGGCGGGGCGGGGCGGGCGGACCCTAACGGGCGGGTTGGGTCGGGCTCCAGCCAACTGGTCGCGGGCAAGAGAAGCCAGAGGAAGAGGGGAGGGAGAGGAGCAGCAGCAGCAGCAAAAGAACAGGAGCGGGAAGAGGAGAAGAGGAAGAGGAGGGCGAAAACGAGCCCAGGCGAAATCGAGCCCAGGCGAAATCGAGCCCAGGCGACAGCCAACCCGGGCGAAAGCCAACCGGGCGAAAGCGAACCCGGGCGAAAGCCAACAGGGCGAAAGCCAACCGGGCGAAACCCAACCCTGGCGGAAGCCAACCCGGGCGAAAGCCAACCCGGGCGAAAGCCAACCCGGGCGAGGCCTCTGAGGAATATGAGGACGGGCGTTCTAACGTGTTCCGGAATCGCTGCTCCGGAGCACGCTGGGGAGGAGGAAGCAGACTCCGAGCCAGTGGATCGGCCAGCTCTACACCGACAGGTGGCGAGCGACAGGGCCTGGCTGCTCCGTGGGAAGGGAGCGGGCGTCGGGATCTGGGGGTCGCGTCGGTCGTGGGGGGAGGAAGGGGGAAGGTGCACGCTAGTCCCTTCGGGGGCGCCTGCCTGGGTTGCGCGCCCGCGGGGCAGGTCGCCTCTTTTAGGGGCAGCGCGGACCCTGTCCGAGAGGCCGCGGCCTTCAAGGCTAGTGGGACTTCAACTGTCGCAAAGCGACGCCCAGAGGCGAATGCAGTAGGCAGCACTGCGGATGCTAGACCTCCACGGGTAATCTGATCTGATTATCTCCCCCTTTCTCTTGGGGGTGTCCTGGACGACGGCTGCGGCGACGTCTTCCCTCCCTCCCTCCCTCCCTCTGGCGGCGCGCTCCCTCCGCAGGGCCGCTTCTCCAGCAGGGGCGCTGCGGCAACGGGCTGCGACGTCAGCCAGCTTGGGTGGGGCCGGGGGGTCCCTCGGTTTCCCAGGGAGGGTCCTCGTTCCCCCTCCCCGTCTGCTTGTCTGCAGCGGTGCTTCGCGCACGCTGTTCTGACTGCGGGGGCTGGGGGGCAGGGCGAGGGCGTCGGAAGGCCGAAAAGAAGCAACTGACCAAGCCTTCCAAACTATACAGCAATACAAGGGTTCGGCCTCCTCGGGTCTTCCTGGAGGTCCTCTTGGAGGCCTCGTGGGACGTCTTGGAAGCCTCTCGGGGCGCTTCTTGGGCCGTCTTGAGCTATCTCAAGACCATCTTAGGCCGTCTTGGATGCATCTTGGGCCCTCTTGGAAATATCTTGAGGCCATCTTGGGCTCCCTTGGGGCAATCTTGGGGCCCTCTTGGCCGTCTGGGAGGCCATCTCGGCTATTTTAGAGGCCCTCTTGGAGCCGTCTTGGGGTCATCATGGGGCTGTCTTGGGGGCCTCTTGGGCCGTCATGGAGCCATTTCAGGGACCTCTTGGGCGCTCGTGAGCGATCTTGGGGGCCTCTTGGGCCGTCTTGGGCCGTCTATGGCGGTCCAAGAAGCGACGGGCCGTCTATGGGCCGTCTTGGGCCGTCTATGGCCGTCTAAAAGGCGACGACGGCGGCGACGACGACGACGACGACGGCTCCGACGGCGACAACGACGGTGATGTCGCCGCCGCCCTCCGTGCCGCTTCCTGGGGTCGTCGATGGCCGCCAAGGGCCGCCGCCGCCGACGGCGACGACGGCGACGACGACGACGACGACGACGACGACGACGACGACGACGACGGCGGCGGCGGCGGCGGCGGCGACGACGACGACGGCGGCTTCGACGGCGGCGGCGGGGGCCGCCGACGTGCGCCGCCGCGGCCCCGGCGGCGCCCACTGGCGCCCAGGGCTCCAGGTCGGTGCCGTCCATGCCCGGGTCTCCGAGCAGGCGCCCTGGCGAGTGGCCGCCGCCGCCGCCGCCGCCGCCGCCGCCGCCGTCGTCGTCGTCGTCGTCGTCGTCGCCGCCGTCGCCGCCGTCGTCGTCGTCGTCGTCGTCGTCGTCGTCGTCGTCGTCGTGATGGCCGTGGCCGTCGTCGTTTGGGGGGCGGAGGGGGGAACTGGAGGGGGGGGGCAGGGGAGAGATGGAGGGAGGGAGGAAGGCGGGAGGACGGGGATGAGGAGGAGGGTGGAGGACAAGGTGGAGGAGGAGGAGGGTGATCAGGAGGAGGAGGCGGAGGAGGAGGAGGAGGAGGAAGAGGAGGAAGAGGAGGAGAATGAGGAGGCAGAGCTGGAGGAGGTGAGGGATTGACGCATGAGGGGCGGAGACGGGCTGGACGGAGAATGATGGTGAAAAGGGGTAGGAGGGGGGGCATAAGCGGAGACGATGCGAGGGGGGCGAAGAGGGAGGGAGGAGAAGGGAGAAGGGAAGAAGAGGCTGATGAGGAGGGGAGCAGGGGGGAGAATCGAAGAAGAAAACACGCCATAAGCTTAAACTTTTGGCGCTCCGCGCGGATTTCTTGGATCCGCGCTGGGCCCCCCAGGCGGCGCCTCTGGCGCCGCCCCTGGCGCGCTCCGCGCGCCGGGGAGGAGGGTCGGGAAGGAGGGTCCGGCGCGGGTCCAAGAAATCCGCGCGAACATCCAGAAGCATATGTTTGTGTGGTTTTCTTTGTTCCTCTGAGCAGGGGGGGGAGGGAGGAAGGGGGGGAGGATGAAGTTATGCTTATTTCGGGCGTGTCCCTCTACAGGAAGACGATTCAAAAATAGTCAAAACATAGTCTGGGGAGGTTTTATTTTGATTAGTTGCTGATTATTTTTGGGTAGGTTTTGAGTGTTTTTGATTTGTTCTCCCACAATCCGCCTGCAGGGGAACATGCCCGACCTGACGGTATGCACCGGATCTTGAAGTCCAAGGATGGTCTATCCGCTGCTTGCCTGAGCAGGGTCGCGTGCCGAACGCGAGCGCAACGTCTGCGCGCCGCGGCCCCTCCGTCCCGCGGGCAGGCGTGGCCGCGTTGGGTCGAGATTTAAATCGGGCGTGTCCCTCTACAGGAGGCATATTCCCACATAGTCAAACATTAGTGATGGGATAATGTTTCGAACGTTAATCTTTTCGAATACGTTTGAAAATAGTTCGAGTCAGAGTGAGGGGGCCGAACGGTCATTCACTGTCCCTGGGTGCGTGGCTGAAGTGGAATTCCGCGGTGCGGATTCTCGTTGTTGTTGTTGTTGTTGTTGTTGTTGTTGTTGTTGTTGTTGTTGTTGTTGTTGTTGTTGTTGTTGTTGTTGTTGTTGTTGTTGTTGTTGTTGTTGTTGTTGTTGTTGTTGTTGTTGTTGTTGTTGTTGTTGTTGTTGTTGTTGTTGTTGTGTTGTTGTTGTTGTTGTTGTTGTTGTTGTTGTTGTTGTTGTTGTTGTTGTTGAACATTATTAATTCTAAAGAATAATTATTGTTGGGACCCCTGGTGCACGGCCCCCCCGCCGCGCCTAGGCCGCAGCTACATTTTCATCATTTTTTCGCGAAAGCTTCAGAAAAGTGGATGGGGTCCAGATCCGGTTGTTTTGTTGTAATCCGTTTTCCCTTGCAAAAAACACTATAAAATGACATTTCTTGTTCTAATATAATCAAATTTCAAGAATCCCTTGCAAAAAATAAGGTAAAGTGGACATTCGCGCGCGCAAGACGAAATCCTTCCAAAAGCTTAGTGTTCGGAGCGATTTTAACATAAAAACATCAAAAAACCAATGGTTTTTCAACAAAAAAATGTCAAAATCTCATCCCGCGCGCTCTTGCGGATTCGTAGGAAAACCAACACTTTTTAAACATTTCTGTCAAACGGGCTTTTGCGAGCAACTTTTTCGAACTTCTGCGACAACGGTTGCGCACCTGCCAGGGCCATCATCCCTGTCAAATAATACCATGCGGGACACATTCGTCAAATAATACCAGCTTAACAACTTCTGTGGGTGTACGAACGTAGGCTTAACAACTTCTGTGGTGTGTACTCCACGCCAGTGTAGTAGCCACGGTCGTCCGCAGGCCACGAAGTGAAGTGTCCGAACGTCATAGGGCGGGAAGCTGGGTGTGGGTGGTGGCGAAGAGTCGTTTGGAAATTTGGTAGAGCTTGAACCGGCCCCCCCACAAAGTGGGGGTATGGCTGGCGTCGCATGAAAACCCTGGCACTGGTGAGAACACTGAGCGTTCGGGTAAAGTGATTGTTGTTGTTGTTGTTGTTGTTGTTGTTGTTGTTGTTGTTGTTGTTGTTGTTGTTGTTGTTGTTGTTCGTGTTGTTCGTTGTTGGTGTTGTTGTTGTTGTTGTTGTTGTTGAACACTATTACTTCTAAAGAATTATTATTGTTGGACCCCCTGGTGCACGCCCCCCGCCCAAAACCTAGGCCGCAGCTACATTTTCATCATTTTTCTGCGAAAGCTTCAGAAAAGTGGATTACCCCCGGATCCGGTTTTTTGTTGACGCTCGTTTTCCCTTGCAAAAAACAATAGAAAATGAAAATTCTTGTTCTTAGTTGATCAAATTTCAAGAATCCCTTGCAAAAAATAAGGTAAAGTGGACATTCGCGCTCGCAAGACGAAATCCTTCCAAAACCTTAGGTTTCGTAACGATTTTAACATAAAAACATCAAAAACCCAATGGTTTTTTAAGAAAAAATTGTCAAAATGTCCTTCCGCGCGCTCTTGCGGATTCATAGGAAACACACCACTTTTTAAACATTTCTGTCAAAAGGGTCTTTGCGTGCTACTTCTTCAGGTGCTTTGAACTTCTCCAACAACGGTTGCGCGCCTGCGAGGGCAAGATGGCCCCAAGAGGCGTCCATGAGGCCCAAAGAGGCGCCCAAGATGGTCCCAAGAGGCTTCAAGAGGACTCCAAGAGGCCCCCAAGAGGTTCCAGAGAGGCTCCAAGGTGGCTCCAAGAGACCCCCAAGATGGCCCCAGGAGGCGTTCTAGAGGCCCCAAGAGTCCGCCGTGAGGGTCCAATAAGCCCCCAAGAGGCCCCAAGATGGTTCCAAGGAGCCCCCCAAAGGCTCTCAAGTGGACCCCAAACCGCGCCAGGAGGCTTCCCCCCTTCCCCAAGAGGACCCCAAGCGGCCCCAGGAAGGCCCCCGACTGCTGACGCACATATCCGTAGCCATCTCGGATCAAGGTATCGCCTGTGTTCTTGGATCATGGCTTTGACGGCGAAAGACCTTCACGAGCAGTATGGCTTTACGGCGAAAGACCTTCACGCGTACTTCAAGAAGGACCTCTGTGGGTGTGTACCCCACGCCAGTGTAGTAGCCAGGGTCGTCCGCACGCCACGAAGTGAAGTGTCCCAACGTCATAGGGCGGGAAGCTGGGTGTGGGTGGTCTCGAAGAGTCGTTTGGATATTTGGTAGAGCTTGAACGGCCCCCCCACGAAGTGGGGGTATTGGCTGGTGTCGCAAGAAAACCCTGGCACTGGGGAGAACACTGAGCGTTCGGGTAAAATGATTGTTGTTGTTGTTGTTGTTGTTGTTGTTGTTGTTGTTGTTGTTGTCGTCGTCCCACCCGCAACCCGCCCCGCGACCACCGCGACCCACCCGCGACCCACCCCGCGACCCACCCCGCGACCCACCCGCGACCCACCCGCGACCCACCCCGCGACCCACCCCGCGACCCACCCCGCGACCCACCCGCGACCCACCCCGCGACCCACCCCGCGACCCACCCCGCGACCCACCCGCGACCCACCCGCGACCACCCGCGACCCACCCCGCGACCCACCCGCGACCCACCCGCGACCTACCCCGCGACCCACCCGCGACCCACGCGTGACCCAAACCACGTTCAAGGTACAAACCACCATTTTCGGCGCCTGCGGCGGGCTTTTTTTGCATTCCTTCCAGGTTGAGAGCCCGCGACCCACCCCGTGACCAACTCGCGACCAACCCGCGACCCAAACCACGTTCAGGGTACAAACCACATTTTTCGGCGCCTGCGGCGGGCATCTTTTGCATTCGTTCCCGGTGGAGAACCCGCGGCCCACCCGCGACCCAAACCACGTTCAGTGTACAAACAATTTTGTTTGGCGCCTGCGGCGGGCTGCTTTTGCATTCCTTCCAGGTGGAGGTGGAGAGCCCGCGACCCACCCGCGACCTAAACCACGTTCACTGAACAAACCAATGCCGCACAAGCGCGGCGGCGGATTTTTGCATGCCGTCTGAGCCCGCAAGGACCTCTTCAAGCCCCGCGCATCCACACCAGCCCGTCCAGCAACTTTGCACTGGCGAGTTGCCTTGATCAGAGAAGGCGGAGAGCATAAAGTGGAACAACATATTGCGTTGTAGTTCTCTGGGGAAAAGAGGGGGAGGCAGGAGGAGTAAACAGGGGACGAGGAGAACGCGGAAGAAGAGAGGATGTAAGGAGATTGTGGAAAATAAAAGAAGGAGCAGGAGGACGAGGAGGGGGAGGAGGAGGACGAGGAGGGGGAGGAGGGAGGATGATGATGATGATGATGGACGACAATGGGAGGACGATGATGGAGGCCGATGAGGGGGAGGACGACAATGGGAGGACGATGATGAAAGGACGAGGGGTGGAGAGGGAGGACGAGGAAGAAGAGGAGGAGGAGGACGAGTTGGGGGAGGAGGATGACGATGACGATGAGGACGAGAACGAGGAAGAGGAGGAGGAGGAGGAGGAGGAGAAAGAGGAGGAGGAGGAGGAGGAGGAGGAGGAGGGGGAGGAGGAGGAGAGCGCCATCGACAAGGAAGGTGGGGGCCACGAGGTCCGCCGGCTCGACAACGCCCGCGTCGCCCGCGCCCGCCCCCTCACTCTTATCCGCAATTACGGGGTGCTACGTATTTTTGGATTTTCGTCAAAACTCCGCCCGACCTGATGCAAAACGCAGCGGAGCTCGACACGCACGGCTTGCACAACCTGCCCCGCGCTCACGTCGAGGGTTCGCCCGCAGGGTGGAG